AGTCATCGACAGGAAGACATTGGAACTCACCAAAAAAATACCCGACATCCAAAGACAAAGGAGAAGCCTCAGTGAGATGGAAGGAGGGGTACAATCACAATAAAAATCATATCCCATAAGCACTGGGTGGGTGACTCACAAACTGGAGAACAATTATACCACAGAAGTCTACCCACTAGAGTGAAGGTTCTGAGCACCGCATCAGCCTCCTGATCCTAGGGGTCTGGCAATGTGATGAGGAATTCCCAGAGAATCAGACTTTGAAGGCTAGAGGGATTTGATTGCAGAACTTCAACAGGACTGAGGGAAACAGGGACTCTACTCTTGGAGGGCACAAACAAAGTAGTGTGTACATCAGGACCCAGGAGAAAGGAGCAGTGACCCCAAAGGAGACTGATCCAGACCTACCTGCTGGTTTGGAAGGTCTCCTGCAGAGGCGGGGGGTGGCTGTAGCTCACCATAGGGACAAGGACACTGGCAGCAGAAGTTCTCGGAAGTACTCCTTGGCATGAGCCCTCCCAGAGTCCACCATTAGCCCCACCAAAGAGCCTGTAGCCTCCAGTGCTCAGTCACCTCAGGCCAAACAACCAACAAGGAGGGCACTCAGCCCCACCTACCAGCAGACAAGTGGATTAAAGTTTTACTGAACTCTGCTGACCAGAGTAAAACCTAGCTCTACCCACCACCAGTCCCTCCCATCAGGAAGCTTGCACAAGCCTCTTAGATGGTCTCATCCACCAGAAGGCAGACAGAAGAAACAAAAAGAACTACAATTCTGCCACCTGTGGAAGGAAAACCACATTCACAGAAAGAGAGACAAAATGAAAAGGCAGAGGACTATGTACCAGATGAAGGAACAAGATAAAAACCAGAAAAACGCTAAATAAAGTGGAGATAGGCAACCTTCCAGAAAAAAGAATTCAGAATAATGATAGGGAAGATGATCCAGGACCTTGGAAAAAGAATGGAGGCAAAGATTGACAAGGTGCAAGAAATGTTTAACAAAGACCTAGAGGAATTAAAGAACAAACAGACATAGATGAACAATACAATAACTGAAATGAAAAATACACTAGAAGGAATCAACAGCAGAATAACTGAGGCAGAAGAACGGATAAGTTACCTGGAAGGCAGAATGGTAGGCTGCACTGCTATGGAACAGAATAGAGATAAAAGAATGAAAAGAAATGAAGATAGCCTAAGAGACATCTGGGACAATATAAAATGCACCAACATTCGCAATATAGGAGTCCCAGAAGGAGAAGAGAGAGAGAAAGGACCTGAGAAAATACTTGAAGAGATTATTATCAAAAACTTCCCTAACATGGGAAAGGAAATGGCCACCCAAGTCCAGGAAGTGCAGAGAGTCCCAGGCAGGATAAACCAAAGGAGAAACCAGCCAAGACACATGGTAATCAAATTGACAAAAATTAAAGGAAAAGAAAAACTATTAAAACAAGGGGAAAATGACAAATAACATAGAAGGGAAATCCCATAAGGTTAACAGCTAATTTCTTAGCAGAAACTCTACAAGCTAGAAGGGAGTGGCATGATATACTTAAATGATGAAAGGAAAGAAAAATTTTCTTTCTAAAGGAAAGAACCTACAACCAAGATTACTCTACCTGGCAAGGATATCATTCAGACTTGATGGAGATATCAAAGCTTTACAGACAAGCAAAAGCTAGGAGAATTCAGCACCACCAAACCAGCTCTACAACAAATGCTAAAGGAACTTTTCTAACTGGGAAACACAAGAGAAGAAAAGAACCTACAAAACAAACCCAAAACAATTAAGAAAATGGTAACAGGAACATACATATTGATAATTACCTTAAAATATATGGATTAAATGCTCTAACCAAAAGACACAGATTCACTGAATGGATACAAAAAGAAGACAAATATATATGCTGTCTACAAGAGACCCACTTCAGACCTAGGGACACATACAGACTGAAAGTGAGGGGTTGGAAAAATATTCCATGCAAATGGAAATCAAAAGGAGTAGCAATACTCATATCAGATAAAATAAACTTTAAAATAGAGAATGTTAGAAGACACAAGGAAGGACACTACATAATGATCAAGGGATCAATCCAAGAAGAAGACGTAACAATTATAAATACATATGCACCCAACATAGCAGCACCTCAATAAACAAGGCAAATGCTAACAGCTATAAAAAAGGGAATTGGCAGTAACACAACAACAGTGGGAGACTTTAACACCTCAATTACACCAATGGACAGATCATCCAGACAGAAAATTAATAAGAAAACACAAGCTTTAAATGACACAATAGACCAGATAGATTTAATTGATATTTATAGGACATTCCATCCAAAAACAGCAGATTACACTTTCTTCTCAAGTGCACATGGACTATTCTCCAGGATAGATCACATCTTGGGTCACAAATCAAGCCTCAGTAAATTTAAGAAAATTGAAATTATATCAAGCATGTTTTCTGACAACAACGCTATGGGATTAGAAATCAATTACAGGGACTAAAACGTAAAAAACACAAACACATGGAGGCTAAACAATATGTGGCTAAATAACCAAGAGATCAACGAAGAAATCAAAGAGGAAATCAAAAAATATCTAGAGACAAATGACAATGAAAAAACGACGATCCAAAACCCATGGGATGCAGCAAAAGCAGTTTTAAGAGGGAAGTATATAGCAATACAATCCTACCTCAAGAAACAAGAAAAATCTCAAATAAACAGTCTAACTTAAACTTAAAGGCACTAGAGAAGGAAGACCAAACAAAACCCAAAGTTAGTAGAAGGAAAGAAATCATAAATATCAGAGCAGAAATAAATGAAATAGAAACAAAGAAAACAATAGCAAAAATCAATACAACTAAAAGCTGGTTCTTTGAAATGATAAACAAAATTGATAAACCTTTAGCCAGACTCATCAAGAAAAAGAGGGAGAGGACCCAAATCAATAAAATTAGAAATGAAAAGGAGAAGTTACAATGGACACCGCAGAAATACAAACATCATAAGAGACTACTACAAGCAAATTTATGCCAATAAAATGGACAACCTGGAAGAAAAGGACAAATTCTTAGAAAGCTATATGCTTCCAAGACTGAACCAGGAAAAAACAGAAAATATGAGCAGACTAATCACAAGTAATGAAACTGAGATTAAAAACCTTCCAACAAACAAAAGTCCAGGACCAGATGGTTAAAGTGAATTCTATCAAACATTTAGAGAAGAGCTAACACCCATCTTTATCAAACTCTTCCAAAAAATTGCAGAGGAAGGAACACTCCCAAACTCATTCTATGAGGCCACCATCACCCTGATACCAAAAGCAGACAAAGATACTACACAGAAAATGACACACCAACATCACTGATGAATATAAATGCAAGAATACTTAGCAAAATGCTAGCAAACAGAATACAACAACTCCTTAAAAGTGTCATACACCACATCAAGTGGGATTTTTCCCAAGGATGTAAGGATTCTTCAATACATACAAATCAATCAATGTGATACACCATATTAACAAACTGAAGAATAAAAAACATATGATCATCTCAGTAGATACAGAGAAAGCTTTCGACAAAATTCAACACCCATTTATGATAAAAACCCTCCAGAAAGTGGGCATAGAGGGAACCTACCTCAACATAATAAAGGTCATATACGACAAACCCACAGCAAACATCATTCTCAATGGTAAAAAACTGAAAGCATTTCCTCTAAGATCAGGAAAAAGACAAGGATGTCCACTTTTGCCACTATTATTCAACATAGTTTTGGAAGTCCTAGCCATGGTAATCAGAGAAGAAAAAGAAACAAAAGGAAAAAAAAATTGGAAAAGAAGTAAAACTGTCACTGTTTGCAGATGACATGATACTATACATAGATAATCCTAAAGATGCCACCAGAAAACTGCTACAGCTAATCAATGAATTTTGTGAAGTTGCAGGATACAAAATTAATGCACAGAAATCTCTTGCATTCCTTTACACTAATGATGCAAAATCTGAAAGAGAAATTAAGGAAACACTTCCATTTATCACTGCAACAAAATGAGTAAAATACCTAGGAATAAACCTACCAAGGGAAGTAAAAGACCTGAACTCAGAAAACTATTAGACACTGATGAAAGAAATAAAAGATGACACAAACAAATGGAGAGATATACCATGTTCTTGGATTGGAAGAATCAATATTGTGAAAATGACTATTCTACCTAAAGCAATCTACAGATTCAGTGCAATCCCTGTCAAATTACCAAAAGCATTTTTTTACAGAACTAGAACAAGAACATTTTAAAATTTGTATGAACATAAAAGACCTTGAATAGCCAAAGCAATCTTTGGCTAAACAGACCTAGAGGAATCAGACTCCCTGACTTCAGACTATACCACAAATCTATGGTAATCAAGACAATATGGTACTGGCACAAAAACAGATCAATGGAAAAGGATAGAGAGCCCAGAGATAAACCCACACACCTATGGTCAACTAATCTATGACAAAGGAGGCAAGGATATACAATGGCAAAAAGACAGTCTCTTCAATAAGTGGTGCTGAGAAGACTGGACAGCTACATGTAAAATAATGAAATTAGAACACTCCCTAACACCATACACAAAAATAAACTCTTAATGGATTAAAGACCTAAAGGTAACACCAGACACTATAAAACTCTTAGAGGAAAACATAGGAAGAACACTCTTTGACATAAATCACAGCAAGATCCTTTTCGACCCACCTCCTACAGTAGTGGAAATAAAAACAAAAATAAACAAATGGGGCCTCATTAAACTTAAAAGCTTTTGCACAGCAAAGGAAACTATAAACAAAATATTATGACAACCCTCAGAATGGGAGGGCTTGCAAACGAATCAACAAAAAAAAGGATTAATCTCTAAAATATATAGACAGCTCATTCAGCTCAATAAAAATAAAAAACAACCCAATCAGACAATGGGCAGAAGAACTAAACAGACATTTCTCCAAAGAAGACATACAGACGGTCAAGAGGCACATGAAAAGCTGTTCAACATCACCAATTATTAGAGAAATGCAAATCAAAACTACAATGAGTTACCACCTCACACCAGTTAGAATGGGCATCATCAGAAAATCTACAAACAACAAATGCTGGAGAGGGTGTGGAGAAAAGGGAACCCTCTTGCACTCTTGGTGGGAATGTAAATTGATACAGCCACTATGGAGAACAGTATGGAGGTTCCTTAAAAAACTAAAAATAGAACTACCATATGACCCAGCAATCCCACTACTGGGCATATACCCAGAGAAAACCATAATTCAAAAAGACACATGCACCCCAATGTTCATTGCAGCACTATTTACAATAGCCAGGTCATGGAAGTAACCTAAATGCCCATCGACAGACAAATGGATAAAGAAGATGTGGTACATATATACAATGGAATATTACTCTCATAAAACGGAATGAAATTGGGTCATTTGTAGAGATGTGGATGGACCTAGAGACTGTCATACAGAGTGAAATAAGTCAGAAAGAGAAAAAGAAATACTGTATATGAATGCATATATGTGTAATCTAGAAAACCGGTACAGATGAACCGGTGTGCAAGTCAGAAATAGAGACACAGATGTAGAGAACAAACGTATGGACACCAAGGGGGGAAAGCGGGGGTGGAGTGTTGTGGTGGGATGAATTGGGAGAGTTGGATTGACATATATGCCCTAATATGTATAAAATAGATAACTAATAAGAACCTGATGTATTAAAAAATAATAAAATTCAAAAAGAAATCATGACTAGAAGTGATATCAGTTAAAAGAACTAGAGAGTGTGTCACATTGATATAGAACAATTAACATTGTTCTCAAATTAAATTTTAAACTAATGTTTTATCACAGTCTTTAGTTGAATAACAAAATTACTAAAGTTTTTTTTAGTGTTTATTCTTCTCAGGACATTGTACCAAATATTTTACATTGACTATATTATTAAATTCTCCAAAAACTACTGCCAGAGAAAAATTTCTTATGTTATATTTGAGTAGACAGTCTCAGAGAAGTGGAGTAATGAGTCTAAACTAGTTCTTTGCTTTGGAATAAATATTTATTAAGAGGGAAATGTCTTGTTGGGGTGAAAAGTCTATTCATAATGCGTTCAATTAATAACTTTTCTTTAGAAATCTCAAAGACCAAACCTTGAACCGGAAACGCTTGGGTGTCTGACTTTGAGTTGTGAGGAGAACAGTGTTAATGTCATTTCCAAATAGTGTTGGTGAAGGTATCCTGTTTAATTTGGCTTCAAGTCCTTAAAGAAAGAAAAAATGTTTGCATGAATTATGACTTTATTTACAAAGATTAATAAGTATTAAATATTTTCACATTTTCTAATTTTCTTGCCTGTCACATATAATGACTTTGTTTTTTCATTTGGAAGATACAATCATGCAAAAAATGTCCTTAATATACCAAATTGAACATTTTTGTGTACATATTTCCCATTTGATTTTATTTAAGATATCTTTCCAAAGAAAATTTTTAAATGTACTTTTTTCATTCAACTTAAAATATGTTGGATCATCATGATAGAACACTTCTCACCAGTATTTGTTGATGTTGTTCCCTCAGCATTATAGCCATGGTTATCTACGAAGAAGCACCAAGGAATAACAGAATTATTCCATGGCCTCCAGCAGCAACCTCGAGCTGCACAAAGTGTCTGATAAAACATTTATTAAAGGAATCATGGGGTTAGTATTGTTATCATATGGGTCAATCTCTACTTTTTAAACATACACGCATTCCAATAAATGAGTGAATGTTTAAAAAAAAATCTTATTTCTTCAAATATATAATGTGCTAAAATATCATTTATTCTTTTGTTCCTTTCACTTGGAAGAAATATAAATATTTGATGAATTGAATTAATTACATACTATCAGACTGATGTTCTGAGTTGTGATTTATCAAATTTACATATCAATACACATTATTATAAGCTCATGTTATTTTAAAGGTTCCTGCCCTCTGGATAATTACAGTCTATTCTGTTGTCATGTAGTCAATGCAGAAGAACTAAAATATTTATTGTGTACCAATTATGTATCAAGTTGCAAGTGAGGCTATAAAGATGAAGATATGGCCCTAAACTTAAGCCTACATAAAATGTTTAAGGTAGATATTTCCAGAAAATTAGTAGTTCAATATGATTTAAAATAGTTTATGTGCCAGTTGTTGCAACATCCAATGAATAAAGTAAAATACTAAATTCTCAGTAATTTTGTGATCTATATGGAAAGTTTATACGAAGTGGAAGAAAAATTATATATGTTTATAATAAAAGTTGAGTCACATGGTGCTGCTGTGTGTTAACATTGGTATAATCAAAAATCTATTTAATATTTAAATTTATTAGTGTGACATGTTTTCATAATTTGAATGCTTGTGAGCTTTTTCTTCTTGGCTATTTGTCTTGAAAAAAATGTTAAGAGCCTCCACTTTCACCAGCTGACAGTATACATGTTAACTTCTCTCCTATTTTTAACATCAAATTAAAATGGTATCAGGTACACATACACACACACATGCACACATACACATGCAAATATGTATATTGCAAATGAGAGCAAATGGGAGCTGAGCATTTTGGAGGGTCATTACCTAACAGAATCTAAAGTATGTGTGACTTTTGATATAGACATTGCAAAATGGGAATACACACACACACACACACACACACACACACACAAATTCACTCATTGACATTTTAATCCCACACAAGTTATGAAGACCAAGGGAGAGTCAAGGTTATGTGAATCCATTCGGTTACACTTACTTTTCTCCATTTGAGCCCCTTCTCCCCAATTACCAAATAATAAAAATAAATAATTTCTAAAAATTAGAAGAATCAATGTTACTTTGTTTTCCACAGACTATTCTTAATGTTATCATCACAAATACTTTAATAGAATGTAGATATCTTTCTCAAAGCTTCTATATTGTCAAAGGTTATACTTTTTTTTAAGAAGTAGATTGGAGAGGATAGAATTTCATGAAGATTTATAAATTTAACAATAGCTTGTTAAGCATGGGAAAATATTAACTTGTTAATTTGAATTGAAAGGAAGTACAGAAAAGCAAGCTCAGTAATTTCCATTATCTCTCATCTGTTTATACATAAATGCAATAAAAAGAATGGCAGCCTAATTAATGGCTAGAGTTTTTAAAATATGGAATTGATCCAATATTAAATAATTATCTTAATATAATTATCTTAATATAATTATCATACTATATATCTATTCATAAAAATATTAAAGACTTTCGTTGCAGACCTGTGTTGGAAATTGTTCTGGAATGCAGTTTATTCTCTCATTGATAAGATCATTTAGCACACTTGGACATTTTCCTGAACCAGGATATACAGTGGTTGTGTGAATGGTAGCAGGGGTTGAAGTAGAACCACTGACTTCTGGGAAAGAAAAAGGTCAATAAAAGAAAACATGGTTTTAAATTAATTTTTCAAATTTTCAAGTAACAAATACATTGAAAGTATTCATAAATGTATATATAATGAAAATTAACATAAACTTTGCATTTAAAAAGACCCACAAATTCAAGTCCTAGTCACCAAAAGGGAAAGATCCAAATGATATTTAAAACTGTCAAAGCCCTGTTGACTGTTCCTTCAGAGAATCAAAATACATTCACAGGAGGTCTTGAGGTAGATTCAAAAGGAAACAAAATGTATATTCCCACTGTGCTTAAAAATTGGGTTTTAGAGATGAAGAAAGAAGGTGGAGAAACATGGATGGGGAAAGGATGTAGAGAAGGAGACAAGAATTAGAGCAGAAAAGAGAAGATTAAGAGGAAGAAGAGGGGCTTCCCTGGTGCAGTGGCCGATGCAGGGGACACGGGTTCGTGTCCCGGTCCTGGAGATCCCACATGCCGCGGAGCGGCTGGGCCCGTGAGCCATGGCCACTGAGCCTGTGCGTCTGGAGCCTGTGCTCCGCAACAGGAGAGGCCCCAAAAGTGAGAGGCCCGCGTACCGAAAAGAAAAAAAAAAAAAAAAAGAGGAAGAAGATACTTGAAGTGAATAGAAGAGAAATCAGGGAATAGTGAAAGAAAAAAAAAAAAAAAACTAAATTCCAGCTCTGTGTAATAAAGAGCGACTTTCTAGCAATCAGAGATGGGGAAGATAAATTTGATTGCTTCACAACGTAGCGAGATTTCAGTTTACTAAAAGAAGGTAAAACAAGAGACCAGAGGCAGCAGAAAATGCTAACTACTGTTAGACTAGAAGATAATTTGCAATATGTTTTCCACTTCTGATTTAGTCAAGACAGAATGATGAAGAAAGAAAAAGTAGATTAGGTGGATCAGAGTGGCATGTATCAACGTTAAATCAGGATAGAAATATTCAGGAAAAAAAAGATAAACGTTTCAAGCCTGTTTAATTCCTGCTACCTGTTTTTCTCATACAACGTCTCTCTTCTTAATAAAAAATTAAGCTTATGACAAAGAGATTATCCCCCTAAATTTACCCCCCCGCCTCCCTGCAGGTGTCTGAAACCCAGAGCAAAACCCCACTAATGAGATTTCCTACTAGTTAGAAGAACCTCACTGGTAACTATAGATGATTATTCCAGTGTACATTAACATCCTGATCCTTTTGCCTTTTTGCTATTTCTTAAGGAACACAATATGGGGAAGGTCATTAATATCAAAGCACATAGATTCCTTAATTACAATGATGCTTCATTGAAAAACCTGCAATATAATGGATAGAAAAAGTTGGAGTAATCGTGTAACGTACCTGAGATCTTTCTTCATGCATTTCATCTCATATAGATTACTTTTCAAAATCCATAATTATTATGTAGTAAACTTTATCTCAACCTCATTATAATAAGTATTTTCAATATTATTTACCTTCAACAGCAGGTGTCTTAGTTGCTAAAACAGCAATTAGGGCAATAGCTATTATTGTAACTATAGCAAAGAGGACAATCAGAGAGATTTCTAATGCAGTAAATTCCTTCCTTGCCATCTAAAGAAAGAAAAGGAATATATGTTTGAAATGTATAATATAAAACTACAATAAGTGACCATTGTTAATATAAAATTATACACGTTTGTTTTTTTTGTCTACTAAGCATAACACAAGCGGAGCCACAGACCGCTCTACCAGTTTATAATCTAAAATAATACACATTGGCAAAAGTGTAAACAACACATGCAGTTTTAAATAAAAAGAATGAATTAGTGACACACATTATAGTAGTACACTAAAATGAAAATACAAAAGGAAAAAGATCTCCAAATAGGTGCATCTTGCTCTCTCATTTTAGAACACTTTTTTCAAGTCAAAGAAAGCTTATGCTTGCATTATGTTCCTTAATTCCACAACAATTGTATGAAGGAGATGCTGTTATTCATATTTTACTCATCAGGAACTTCAGGCTTAGAGAAAATGTTATATTTTTCAAAGTCAAAAAATCCAGTTCTTCGTACTATAACTATTGCGCTCCATTTCCAACAGTGCTTTCTTATAAGGATATTGTGGAAAAGAATATAAATATAAATATGTGGTAAAGAAAATAAATATAATTATATAAAAGAATACAATACAAAATGTTGTAAAATATATATACACCACACACACACACACACACACAGATATATATATACACATATACATATGGTATATATTTAGGAGTTGTTTCTTAAAAAAATTAAAAATAATAAACTACATGCTCTCCAAGTTCCACCCTTAAATAGCAAATAAAATATACCAAACTCTCATATCAAAAATATATATTCATTTCAGATAACATTATGCATCTGAATTAGCATCCAGAGGTGCCTAAATGTAGGTAGTGAAGAGCTCTTCTCTAGTAATTATCTTAAAACTTATTTGTTTAACTTAGTTTTGACCATATATCTCTTATCTCTCCTAGTCTTTAAGTTTCCATGGCTTTTCTGTATTTTATGTTTTTATATGTTTTAATTCAATGGCATATACTTAGATAGAAATTCAGAGTTTTCACAGTAATTGCTGTTACAGATTGGATTGCTGGTTTTAAAATAAATTTTTTTGCCCTCTCATACCAGTCCCTCCTCCTGTAGCTATGTCAGTTCACATACTCAGTTGTTCCAATCTAAAAACTTATTTTCCCTCTTTCATATCTTTCTACCGCATTAAATCATTCGACAAGTCCTGTTGATTCTACCTCCAGAATATTTTCAGAATTGTACCCTTATCTTATCCCCACCAATGAAATATCTTTTTTTTTGAATAACATGTCTTCTTAGTAAACGCTGTTTAATCTTCCTTCAATTCTTCCACATTTGCTCTTCTGTGTTAGTTCCAATTTATGCCCAGTTCAAGTGCCATGTCATCTGTGAATGTTTTCATACTTTCAGAAGCAGAGTTTATCTATCCTCTTCCCATTTTACAATAGCACATAGTATATCTATTGCAATTATTTAAACATGTGTTAATTTCCTCCATTGGATTGTTATATTCCTAATAGCAAGAATCATGAAAGTAGTTCAGAGCCTGACATCGAATAAGTACAAGCTCAATTTTTAAAATATACCTTATGATTGAATGTTTAAAGATTAGCATTCAATTTTAGCATACGATTCCTGTTATATATATGTAAACTGTTTATTACATCAGGAATCTTCAGAGAACCTGAATGAATGTAAGCTAAATTTAAATAAAGTGACATGATCTAAGCAGCTGTTTAGAAAATGAAACCCAGTTGCTCAATGTTATGTGAGAAACAATACAGTTGCATTTAATGTTTAATTTTAAATAAGTTTAACAATCACTCAAAGTAATTTCACTTTGAGATCAAAAAGCCAATAAAAAGGATTATGCATTTCTTTTGTTAAGGGAAATCTAAGAAAAAGTGCACATTGTCCTGAAGCTAACCCTCTTTAAGCTAAAAAAATCAGAATAAAGTTAATGTACCAAAATCAAATTATTCATATGAGTACTTATAAATGATCAGTACTAAAGCTGTTCATATGCTGTAGGTGGTAATTACAGTGATCGTATTTTGGATCACAGTAATTTTAAGCAAAATATTTTGGGGGAAATTATATACTGATGCCCTTTCTCTGTATATTTATTTTCAAAATGAGTAATACTTTATTAGATGCTAACTTGATGACTGATCTTTAAAAGATCTGCTACAAAAGATTAAATTCTTTATAAATGTAGCATTCTATTCTGCATATATACTTTTCTTAAATAAAATATATTTAATCATACATAGAGTATTTCTTCACATTTCAAAATATTTTGGATCTTTATTTTCATCTATATAGAGCAATTCAACTAAACTTGCTATGATTCTACTTGAGTCTGACAAAAATTTTAATGAAGAGCTGGGCAAAGAAAATATTCTATCTTTAAAGAAATTTAGAAATATTTTTTCCTGTTTTAGTACAAGGGGCTATATATTTAAAATGGCAAATGAAAATATGTTATAGTTGCTATTTTAAACAAGTGCAGATAGACAGGAATATTGCTAACATGAATTAAAGGAACACACAATTACCTGGAAACACGAAAGTAATGAAGACATATGATCGGTAAACTTACCTTATTTCCCAGTCTGGTCTTTTTGCTCTGCTGTACTAGAGTTGGGCAAGGCTGCCAAAGTAATGATCAGGGAAAACTGCTCAGCTATAAATTGAGCTACTCGTAATGTTTTATTGCATTCTCACCAGCCTATCAGTATTTAATAAACTTCTGCTCATGTGCAATCTAAAAAAACCTTAACCCTGAAAACAGCTTGTGTAAATATCTCTCTCTGGGAATCTAGTTAATTAATAATTGTGCTCTCAGATGCTCTTTGATTTCTGGAAGCTATGAGCTAGCTTAAGAACATAAAAGTACATTTAACATTTAATAATTGCCTTTTATGAAATATTATCTGCTAATTGTTAGTTTCTGCAAATGTTTTTCAAACCCTAGCTTACAAATATGTTTCCACTTTCCAGTGAGAGTTTACATTTCACACAATGAGATAAAATAGTAATTAAAGCAACATCCAAATAGTAGAAGAAATACAATTTTGAAAAGAGAAAAAAACAATGTGCTATCAATTATACTGCTGGTTTAAGCTAGAATAATGTTTAAGAGCAAAGGGTTTGATATAAGAGACTTGGGTACAAATACCAGCTGTACCACATATACCTGAGAAACTCTGGGCGCATTTGCTAATTTTTTCAAGCCTCAGTCTCTTTATCTACAAATTAGAAATAAAAATACTTATTCATAGGGTCACTGTGAGAATTACATGTGCTTACATAGTCTATTACCATTATTACAGCTCTGCTACCACAAAGAGTACAATTTGACTCTGAAACAGTTAGTATTTGAATGCTGCATATAATCTGGGCACTACCTTTTCAAAGGAATATATATTAAAATAATGTGGTCACATAGAGTAGATTGACTCGTTTTTTGAGGTATCCTGAATATGAGTTTAAAAAGAAACAGTAAAAGAAGCAGATGTATGGAATACTGTTAAGACCCTGGGGAGATATAAAGGAGAACTTCCAGTATAGAAAGAGCAGTGATATGGAAATAAGATAAGAATCATTCTAGAATAGTCTCAACAGGCAGAACTAAATCCAATGTAATAGAAATTTTAAGTGATTTCCTCTCTATTCACAAAGCACATAATTATACAAGTGGAAAATCTCATTAAATCAACCCAAATCTTCTAGAACAAAGATGTGAATGTAGCCAAGTCACAGCATACAAAGTCAATGTACAAAAGTCAATCATGTTCCTACATAAAAGCAAAGAATGACTGGAAACTGAAACTAAAATATAGATAGACAGATAGGTAGATAGAAAGAAATAGATATAGCTATAAATATTGGTTGGCCAAAAAGTGCGTTCTGGTTTTTCATGTTATGGAAAAACCCGAGCAAACTTTTTGGCCAGCCCAATATTTAGAGAGATATAAGTGAATAGATAATTTATGATTGTATGAAAAATAAGTACTTGGGTATAAATCTAACAAAATATATATAGAATCTCTACTCTGAAAACAGCAAAATGTTGATGAAAGAAGTCGAAGATCTAAATAAATGGAGAGATAAACCATATTTATGGATTACAAAACTCAATATTGTTAAGTTCTTGTTCTTAACAATTAGATCTATATATTCAATATAATTTCAATAAAAATCCCAGCAAATAGATATAAACAAGTTGATTGTAAATTTTCGGCATCTATGTTTATAGCAACTTTATAATTTCCCCAAACCGGAAATACCTCAGGTATCTGTCAACACCTGGCATATGTATACAATGATATACTACTCAGCAGTAAAGAGTTATGAATATTGGGTCATGCAACAACATGGATCAACCTTAAAATTCAAGTTAGTTGTTTTCCCTGCAATTTCAGTTTTCTGACTGTTTCAAAACAAAGTAATTAATTAGCAGTTTGTCCACCTTTTTTCCCCTTTTTTAAGAGTAAGAGCAAACACTCT